CCCAAGTCACCAGATTCTTCACCAGGTTTCCTTGCCAGGGAGCAGAGGGACCAATGCTCTTCGGTGCAGATGGCCCAAGGGTCTCCTCTACGCTTTTCCCCCGCTTCCCATCATTCCGGCAGTAATTCGGAAGAGGTTGGAGGAACGTGCGGAGCTCCTCCTGGCACCTTATTGGCCAAGGAGGCCCTGGTTTGCGGACCTGGTCAACCTATCTGTGGCTTCTCCTTGGAGGATCCCTGCCCATCTAATCTCCCTTCACCAGGGGGCCCTGCTCCACCCAGAGCCCCAGTGGTTCAAGCTGACTGTGTGGCACTTGAGCGGCAGCGGCTAGAGGAGGCTGATCTTCCAGAAAGGGTCATCCTCACTATCCTGGCTTCTCGCAATCCTTCTACGAGGCGCATCTATGATGCCACCTGGAAGGCTTTTTCCCGATGGTGCCTCAGGGAGGGTCTTTCTCCTGCTTCAGCCCAGTTGGCAGAAGTTCTTAGCTTCCTTCAGCATGGGCTGGAGAAAGGTTTGGCCCCCAACACCTTACGCAGTCCTTTCATGGGGTTCGCTTTCTTCCTTATCCAATCACACTTCAGTCAGGAGGTTTTTGAAAGGGGCTTCCAACCTGCACCCTCCAGTGGTTCACAGGTATCCTTCCTGGGACCTTCATATGGTCCTTAATACCCTTACGAAGCCCCCCTTTGAACCCCTTAGAACAGTGTCTCTCCGTTTCCTGACTCTGAAGGTAGTGTTCCTTGTTGCCATCACTTCTGCCAGGAGGGTTTCCGAGCTTGCTGCTCTTTCCATCAGACAGGACCTTTGTTCCTTTCACAATGATAGGGTTGTTCTTCATCTGGACCCCTCATTTATTCTGAAGGTTAACACCTGGTTTCACAGGTCCCAGGACATTGTTTTGCCTGACTTCTGTCCTCTCCCGCACCATGACTTAGAGCGGCAGTGGCACATGCTAGACGTAAGAAGGGCTCTTAGAATATACATTAAGCACACTTCCTCCTTCAGGAAGTCAGAAGCCATGTTTGTTTCCTTTTTCCCTTTTCACTTGGGGCACAAGGCCTCTTCTCCTACTATTAGCAGGTGGGTCAGGTCTTGCATTGACCAGACCTACAAAGCTGCGGCCCTTCCGGTTCCCCGAGGTCTGACGGTGCACTCTACCAGAAATGCGGCCACTTCTGCTGCCTGGGCGACCCAAGCATCCTTGGAGGAGATTTGTCGTGCGGCCACGTGGACATCCCCGTCTCCTTTCATCAGACACTACCATCTGGATGCTTTTGCCTCGGCAACTGCAGCCTTCGGCAGACAGGTGCTTCAACGAGCGGTTCCACAGTCGGTGTGATGAGCCAGACGAGGACCCACCCATGGACATGCAAGCTTTGGTATGTCCCATCCTGGGCTCTCGAGGCAGCATGGAGGAGAATGGGCGTTGGTAGAAGTTACCGTGAACGCCCTTTCTATCTATGCTGCGAGAGAGCCCAGCCCCTCCCTTGATTCGTCCAGAGAGGGTAAGACATATTTCTGTATTTATTTTGGGCTTTCAGAGACACCTTTCAGTCTGTCAAGTATCTTCGCCAAAGCTGGGGTCTCTCCCAGGGGCTGGCTTTTATATCTTAGTACAGACTCAGCTATGACGTCATAAGAAGGAGTCAACCCATCCTGGGCTCTCTCGCAGCATAGATAGAAAGGGCGTTCACGGTAACTTCTACCAACGCCCAGTCTCTGAAAGAAGCTTTTCCTGATTAGTTTTGCTTTTAACAGGAGCACACAGAAGAATAGTAAAAATTCAGTCCAAGCTTACAGGAGCCAGGTCAAGGATGCCAGCCAATCCAGATGTCAGAATTCCATAAGCAGTATCCATATAATCATAACACGGAAGCCAGAGATCAGGCAGGAACAAGGGATCATAGATCAGTGCTGTTTCTTAAATCAGGATTGTGATGACTTTTTTGGCAGCTGCATCACTGATCATGCTGACCAGCCTCAGGTGATTCTTGACTTTGTGTCTCCTGAATTGGACATTCAACAGGTTCAGCTGGAGCAGCTTATAGATCAAATAATAGCATTAAATTATATTCTTATTTTTATTGTTTGTTGAGCTATATCAAGAATGTCACTTATAGTTACAGTTGGTGTATAGATATGAGCTGGCAGCTCAAAGTGTTTAAAACTTCCTGAAAGATGTGCATTTATAAAATTATAAGTCTATAGTAACTGTTTATACACTGTTTATTAGAATGCACTAAATTAAATGTACAAGAAAATAAGTCATCATGTCAATCGTTTTGGAGTCTACTATATAGTTTTTAGACATATCTTTTTAAGAGGAAACAGAAGGGGTGGAAAATTCTTACATCAGATAATATTGGCTCTTTTTGGATGAAGACAAAGAAGAAATATGCCAGTTATTCTTATATAAGTTATATTACTGGACCTGCATTAATTAAGGCAAGAAAGCCTGAAAAATTAACAGTTTATTTAATAGGATTGAATCAAAGTAAAATTGCTGTTCAACCAAGCTTTATCAGACAGTGTCTATTTTACTATCAATTAGAATCTTTGAACTGTGCTCAATATATGGCCTTAATTTTCCTTTGGAGGAGAGACATGAGGATGTGAGCAACTGATTTATATTATCCATAATTCTTTCGGCAGCTGAAGGCTTTGGTGGTATTTTCTCTATTGTAAAGCTAGAAGCACTATATTTTCAGCTTTATTTTCTAATCGTGATTATAATTACTTGTTTCCTGTTGATTTTTGCATGTGTTTGTTTTCAAATAATAGTATCATGTTTATTTAGAGATTGAAACTTAATAAATAAGAAAAAGGAAATGGCTAAAAAAAATGATACTGTTATTCTTGTATTTGGGCATCTTATCAGAAAGTTGATTAAAGTGCAGCAAAACGGTCAGACACAAAATTCCTATAACATAAAGACCCTCTGTAGCATAACTAGACTCTCTCTCCCCTCTCCTTTTTTTAAAGCTTGTTCAAGATTGCCTTTTCTAATTTTTAAACAGTTTTTTAAAGTTTAAACATTATTTTGTTTTTGTGTATGCACATTTCTAGAAAAATAAATAAAATGACTGCTTTCATAGAACAAAATGTAAATCTTTTAAATAACTAAATATATTAGTTATAAATATACTTTAATATCCCATTGTTAAGAAACGTTAGTTAAATGAATACATTATAATAAAATGTAATGTAACATAATCTGTTTTGCTTATGAGAAATGTGTACTTTTGAGGCTTCCCACCATTTCCTTTCCTTTTTCTCTTTTTTATACTGAATAAAAATAAAATAAGATCACTTTCACAAAGTCACACCTCTTTCTCTGTGTGTATTGTGTTCTGTTTTGTATGTGTCTTTGACATGTCAGAATATCATAAAACGTTAAAAGGCAATTTATCATCAAAGTTTGCCTTACAAAGTATGAACTTATTACTTGAGCTCAAGCCTGGAATGGAAGCTAATATATTAAATACTTCTTTGGAATATCCTCAGAATGTATTTTAGTATTAAGAATTTTTAAGAATGCAGGAAGTATAAGTCTTAATTGAGTTTTACTAAAACAAGAACAATTATCAATGTTGTATCCAGAATAAAATTTCCCCATGGCTTTTTTTTCTCCTGTCACTCCTTTCAAGACTTTACATTATATTTATTGAAAGGCAATTATTGAAAGGACAGCTATGCCTGTGGCAATGCTTTCACTAAAAATCTCCTTACATACCAGTGTCACCATGTGTCTTTTGCTTCCACACATAATTTTGTGTACAGAAATCCAGATGGGCAAAGGAATTGGAAGTCTTTTCAAAAGGTTTATGTATAATGGAGACAGCAGGAGCCACAGACGGATTGTCTTCTTAAATTGTATAGCTGTACAACAAGTTTCAATTGGCAGTTACCTGGATTAAGGTCGGATTTGGTTTGGCTTGGGCCTAGATTTGAACCTGCTCGGGCTGTCTTGGAGGCTGAAGTAATGGGCCAGATTATGGGCCATGCTTTTACCCTGGCTGTGCTAACCATGTTTGCCATGCCTTTGGGCTTGGTGCCAACTGCGCTTATTATTTCTGTGGCGACTCTGTGTAGTGTATTCTCTTTGCTGTTGGCATTTCTTCCCCAGTGGATTTTTTCCTTTGTAGAGTTTGCTGGCAGCTATATTAGAAGGGCTGGTTGGAGGGCCTTGGCATAGAAGACTGGGTATTTGCAGCTGGTTAACAATGCTGAGGGACACTTATAGCATGCCGATAATGGAGGCATTTGCTTAATTGGGTTCTTTTTATCTAATTTTAGGATTTTTGTGGGGAACAAATACATTTTTCAGTCATATTTGTGCAGAAAGGTGAGGACGGTTCACAAACTTTTAAGGTCCACTATATAGGAAGAACATTAAAAATCGTAATATAGTCTGTTTTGGTGAAACACAAGTTCTGCACCATGCTGATATACAGGTAGTCCTTAACATATGACTGTAATTGGGTCTGGAACTACTCGTAAGTCATGGCGGACATTAAATTGGTCATCATGTGATTGCATGCAATGTTATGGCCTTTTTTTGCAGCGGTCATTAAGAGAAGACTGTGTTAAGTGTTAAGTTAACACAGAGGTTGTTAAAATGGTCCATTTTCCCCAATGGGCTTTTTTTGCCAATCGAAAGTAAACACAGGAAACTGGCAAAAGCCACCAAAAATCATGGTCATTTGATTGCAGGACACTGCACACAGCCATAAATGTGACATGGTTGCCAAATACCCAAAATGTGATCATCTGATTGAGGTGAGGGTGTGTGGCCATCAAAACTTCAAAAATGAGTTGTAAGTAGTTCTGGAGAGGACCATCATAACTTCAAATGGTTGCTAAGCAACTGGTCATTAAGTGAGGACTACCTGTATTTTTTATAACTAAAATAAATTGTGGGATTACAAATGCATCTGCAGTGGCATTCTGAGAAATTAATATTTATGCCCACTTTTAAAAAAATTTAATTTTTGCAGGTTGCTGTTGTGAAATTAAGAAATGCAGACAAAGTATTTGCCATGAAAATATTAAATAAATGGGAAATGCTGAAAAGAGCGGAGGTAAGACTCAAGGAATGGTCAAACGGCTATTAAGTTTGTGATTTTTCTTCTCTTTTAATTAGAATCTGACAAATTTTTTAAAAAGCCAGATTATTTCTAAATGCAATATATCTTGAAAGTGTATGAAATATTACAATATGTTGCTGTCATAATTTATTTCTGTTGAACGGTCTATTTTAATCACCTTGTAAAACAGGTTTATTATTCTTCTGCCCTGTTTTGATCTCTGCTTTTTAGATTTTTTTTTTCCTATGGGGCTCTTTTATATAGAATTAGAATCCAAAACATGTGATTATTCATCTTAGAAACATTCCAATAACTGTTTTATCACAGGACAACATGCAGATTAAATTTCCAATAAATCCCTTCTGTTTTTAGAACCTTGCCATAAAAGTTTCCATACACCAAATTTGGGCATCCATTTTTGTCTGTTTGGTTCATGCTGTTAGATTAAAATCATCTGCACAGTGTCCAATGGATGATTAACAAAGTCAGCTTTTTGACAAGAAATTAAATGCTTATTGTATTCCTACCTACTTTTTTGATGTTGCCAAATCTGTTTGGGAAGACAACCATCACTTACTTACTGACTTCTGCCCCCATAGTGATTTAAATCAAGATGGAAAATCACATTAAATGATTAAAAATGTTTGATGCACCAAAAAAGTTGTTCTGCCGAAATTCATTTAATTTTAATTAGGAAAAAAACCTGTTACATTTCTTCTTCAAGCATTTTTACTTTTTTTTTCATTTCTTTTTAGTTCTGGTGGGATTCTTAATTGTAGGTTCTGATTGTCACTAATATTCTATTATAACAGGACAATACAGATCATTCAATGAATCCAACTGTTGGTAAATTCAGAATATGTAGTCTCCTGATAATTGTCTTTTTTTCTTATATCAGAGGTAATAATTAAGAGATAGGAAGAATACCATTCTGATGGTGTTCCATTTACTATTCATGCAGAATTTACTATTTGGCAATCCAGAATAGAGTGTTTTTGATATTAATACCCTGACTTAAGACTTTAGTAAGTAATTATTTACTTAGACTTTTAACTGAAACTATGTACAGTAGCTGTGTTTCATGGTTCTTTCTATTTTTAATGTGCAGCTGTAACTTTCTAAGAACTAATGTTACACTTTTATGATTTTAAAAGTAATTTTATTATTTTAGCCACATTTTTTACCCTCCTTGCTTTGAATTGTCATAGTTGTAATGAAAAACTATTTTTTACATGGCAACTCTATTTCCTATATCTTCAGTATTATTGTTTAAATGGAAAGAACTCTAAATGACTCTGCATTTTGCTTATAATAATTATATTTATCTATCCTTTAGACAGCTTGTTTTCGAGAAGAGAGGGATGTTTTGGTGAATGGGGATAATCAGTGGATTACAACATTGCACTACGCCTTCCAGGATGAAAATTATTTAGTGAGTATTACTTAAAAGTAATCTTTGAACATAATGTCTAATTTTAATTTACCTGTTTGCTTGTATCTTACTGTTTACTGATAATTAAAATAGTTAAGTGGCAAATATGCTGCCGTGCCACCATACAAGCAGTTGTTCCTATGAATAGACAAAGAGGTATATCTTCTGTATTATCTGCAGACAATTTCACAATGGACAAAGTACATCGAAACACATGACATTACTTCTAGCAGGATTTAAAAGCCATGATTGGCCAGCTTTTCATAGCAAAAGACATTAGCCACTTGTGAAGTGTGACCAATTATTTTTTAAAAGGTTATGTGGTGGGATTCAAAAATTTTTATTACCGGTTCTGTGGGCATGGCTTGGTGGGCATAGCATGGTGAAGGATACTGCAAAATCCCCATTCCCTCCCCCCTCCCACTAACCTGCTTTCCAGCTCTGTTCTCCTGTGCAGGGCAACAAAAGAAGACCTAGCCAATCAGCTGGGACTCGGGAGGCAAAGAATAAATGGGGCGGGGCCAGTCAGAGGTAGTATTTGCCGGTTCTCAGAACTACCCAAAATTTCTGCTACCAATTTTCCAGAACTGCTGAATACCACCTCTGGTTATGTTTGAATATTATGTATGAATGTAATTACAGTTTCAAAAATCTGCCCATCTTATTCCTTTTTTCAAAAATTCTGCAGTCAAAATATATCAGATCTTAGTAATATATGATTGTAAGAACTGATGGGAGTGGATTTTTTTATAAATTAACTATATGTAAATTAATTATACTTTTGAAGTTGCCTTTTTGTATATCTTTGAGGAAAAGTGTGACATTTATGTCTCACTCCAGTTTTTCAAGTGATTAGATATTGCTATGCATTATTTTTGTATTTGCAGGTGTCAGATAGATATAGGGGAAGAATAAGCAATAGAATATTTTTGGTTAATAGCAAGGCTGTTGTGTTTGGTCCAGTCTTTCTCTAGAAAAGAAAAATATTGGGACTGAGCAAAGGTTTTGAAACAGGTGTTATATAATGGAGGATATACAAAGAACTTATTTTCAGAAGATTTATCTTGCCCTAATCATATTGAGAAAGCAGCTCTTGGTCTTATCCGATTTATTATATTTACTGCATATTTGTACTTCTATCAAAATTATTTTCTATATTCCTAGTACCTCGTTATGGATTATTATGTTGGTGGAGATCTACTTACCTTGCTCAGTAAGTTTGAGGACCGGTTGCCTGAAGAAATGGCTCGCTTTTATTTAGCTGAAATGGTGGTAGCCATTGATTCTGTACATCAGCTACATTATGTCCACAGGTAATTATTATCAATAGATTATACTTCCCATTGTGAATTAGTCTCTGCTGTTTTAATTAAAATGGTGTTTATAAAGAACTAAATCTTTAAACATTTGCTTAATGAGGATAGTATTATCTACTAATGTTCAGTTCTTTTGACAGAAATTGTTGAACAATTTCACTGAAGATTTTTAACAGTATGAGCCTTTGTCAAGTCAGGTTGCAAGTCATTTGTAGCTACAGCCATATATACAAGAGTTTAATTCATATTTCATTAGCTTCATTGCTCTAGAATGAATACATTAATTTGCATATTTATTTCAAACAAGTAGATTGGTAGTTTTGTGAGATAAATATGCAATTATAGTCTTACACATTCTAATAATATTGTACTGTATTTGTATTGCTCAGCACAATATATACAAATGTGTTTTTACCACATATACTTTTTAAATATTTTCTGAGATTCCTTATATAATAATTAATTTGGATATGTCACTATAAACAGCCATAAAATGAAGCTGTGATATGAATTTCTGCAACTCAATTTAGGAGAATATCATTTTTCATTTTCAAGAGAGCGATTATGCTAATCTAATTTATCATGCTAGTTATAGACCAGAAGGAAGAAATGGGTAACCTGAAAAATTTAAGATATATTAGAAGTCTCCTTATGTACAAAATGCAGAACTCTGAAAATCTCTTGCCCTATTTTTTATACTGACTTCCAGGGTTTTTAATTTATTGTTTTGGAAACATTTGCTGAATGTGTTTGGATAAAACTGTTTGTTTGTTTTAAAGTGTCACCTTGTTCTAGATAAGTTGTATTCAGGTTCATAGCTTAGAAATTCTCCTGAATCATATTTTCTGCTGCTTTGCCTCTTTTATTTATGCATGATTGATGATAAGGCACAATACATTTTCCTGTAAGTTCTTTTTGTTTTGTCAAGTAAAAGTTTTGTCCGGTAAGTTTTGTCTTTTTGTTTTGTCAAGTAAAAAACAAACAACTAAAATTCTCAAGCATCTGAAGTTGCTATTACCTTATTTTATTGAACACTTTGACATGTGTTTTGCTGCAGAGCTCCTAACTGGAAATATATACATACATTTAGCTGAACATGCTTACAAATAATTTTGCATATACTTTTCTGAATAATTTTGCATATACTTTTCCGTATGTCAGACTTGTCTACATATCCATGTTCTTTTCCTTGTTTGTGTGTGTGTGTGTGTGTGTGTGTGTGTGTTAAAGGACCCTGGACTTAGTTTGAACAAGAAAAACTAAAGAAAGACATGATGGCATAAAAGAAAAACAAAGAGGAAAATAAGAACTAGAACTTCAGAAAAGCACATCCTAGAAAACTTTAGAAGAAACTCATAAGAAGAACAGGGAATTAGATTGAATATGTGCCATCATATTGGTGTCATGATCTGTTCCTAACCTTGTCCTTCAGTTCTTACAATGGTGTACCCATTGCCACAGTAACTGATGCCTTCTTCTCCCCTTCCACCTTTCCCAGCATTAGAACTTTCTCCTAAAAACTGGCTCTTCATATAATGTGTCTGAAGTATGAGCTGGATCATTTGTGCCTCCGAACTTTTGACTTGTTCAATGATTCATTTGTTTATTTTCTTAGCTGTCAAGGGTATTCTCAGGAATCTTCTTTGACATAGAATTTCAACAGTATCAATACTCTTCATAAGTTGCTTCTTCAAAGTCTAACTTTTACTTCCATAGCGTTCTGATCTGTATAGGTATAAGCACATTGTAACATCTTAATACTTTTTCCAAGGCCTTCATGGCTACTCTACCAAGTGCTGGTCTGTGCATATTCCTTGACTGCCTATTCCTTTACTATTAGATATTGGCCTCTCTCTTTGACTGGAGATATTTAAATGCAGCCAGGCTGCTATTTGCATCCAATATTGTAATTTCGGCATTGAGTAGAGAATTGAAAGAGAGTAACTCTACAATGCCTTTTAATTGAGAGAAAGAAAAAAAATATTATAACTGAATGAAAGATATTTTTAGTCATTTCTTCAGCAGAATGATGTAATGATAGTGACTTTAGTCATTTTAGAGCCAGGATTTTTAAAACCAGGCAAAAAAGTACTGTAAAAACAATATAAACAAAGGAATCCATGGACACAAAGAACTAATTATTATTTTGTATAGAAGAGAATGAAACTGAAAAGAGTTAATGCAACGGGAGAAAAATGCCTTCCGATTTGTCTGTATTTTGGGATTACCATAGGAGTTTTCCTTTTTAAGCAATCATTTAACTGCTACAACCTACACGTCAGGGTAATATTTTCCATATTCAGATGCTTAAGTATGCCACAATTAGAATAGCAACTAGTTAGATTAGACCTTTGCAGGCATGCTTCTTATTTTGCTTATATTCTTTTCATAAGACTTCCTGTGCTTTTCTAATTTTTTTGCAACTTTGCCAATGTACTGTATTTTCCTGTTTCACAAATCTCTTTATATCCAAAATGACAGTTTTTATCATTTGGATTTCAGTTAACACAAATCATGCCAATAAATCAAGGGGTTTTTTTCCTCAAAGATTTAAATCTACACACACACACTTTTTGAGATCTATGACTTATTTCCAGTTTATTTTATTTAATAAAGTTGTGCTAGTAGAATGAGATGGAAAAACATATTGCCAGCTGTGCTGTTTTCTAAAAAAACAAACTGGCAGCTGCCCATTTACAGAAAATTCTACATTTGCAGAATTATTAACTGAACTGCAGCTATAGTGTTCTGCCAGCTTCCAGGGTGGTTTCTGTTGACCTTTAATATAAATCAAGTTCATGTTGGACATAGTATAAAAGGAATTGCCAGATAGTTAGCTTTCTAATATTCAGCCTCCGTTTTGTGACCACACATTTTAAGCCACATATTAAGGTTCAAAATTCAAGATAACAATGTAATAATATTAAATTTAGGTAATAAAAATGCAGCAAAACTAAAAAAAAGCATGCATCTAGTTTTAAAATCATAATCAATAAAACTCCAAATCATAATAAAGCAATTAATCAAATTGGCTTTTAAAACCTTTCTAAAGTCCTGCAATAATGGATTTAAGACTTGTCATTAGAAAATCATCAATTTAACAAAGGGAACTATGTATTCACTTTTAAACAGAGCACTGAAATTCCTCCCCCACCACCAAAGTAGACTTAATTTGCTGTTTAGTTCTAGATAGATTTTAAATGTTGAATTTTACATCTGTACAGTGCTACAAAAAGATGATTTTCATCTCTTGTTATCATTCTACTCCAAGTAAATCTGAGTAACTTTATCTGCTAGATAACTAGAATATTTTTCAGAGATTCGTTAGATGATCCTAATGCTGATCCCTGCCCTTCGAGAAGTGGATCACTAGATAAAGGATTGGTGGTTGGCTATTAGTGGATGGGTAAGGGTGAACATAACTGTGTTTCACTGGTATTATCAGCATGGTATAATCTCTAACGTGAACTTGTAACACAAATTCAGTCGGATTTACTCTTCCTCCAGTGGCATTCTAGTCATCTCTTCAGATGTTTCAGCTCTCAAAGCTGTATACATAGATAGAGGCCATATAAGAGTAATGTGATCCAAGATCCTTGTCATTGCCAATTCTGGTCAGAAAACCATACCTCAGGTGAAGAGTCCATCAGATCCTCAGGAAAAAAAAAACCCAAGAGTCTTCAAGTCTTCCTGGGTCAGAGTCATCTGATAGGATTTACTTTCCTGCAAGGAGTACAGTATGTTTGTGTGGAGAAGCAGAAAAGTGAACAGAACGGAACCCGAGCATGGCAAAGAACTAATGGTAATATCCTTCACCTTCAGATCATATTAGAACTGCCCTGAGATAAAAACCAGATCTAATGTGTAATCTTAAACATGTATTAATTCTTCAATAATTTTGAACAACTCCATGTTTATCATAGTGGGCATGGTCCCAAGCAACTCCAAGCCCAACACTATCCAGGGACATGTGAATCCTCAAACCTACTGCTATCAGCAATGGAGTTTAGCAGTCCAGGTAGAAAAGTTGCTATGTAGCGGGGAAGCCAATAAGGTAGCAACAAATTGAACTGTTCCCAAGGACTCAATTTCAGCTAGAGCCTCTGTTCATCTAGCACAAAGCCCCCAAAAGTCATACTAATGTCCCATCCTTCCTTCCCTACTTTTACAGCTGATGCCAAATGCAAAATCTAGATACCTCCCCAGCCATCCAGCCTCTCCAAATCTCAGTTATGCTAGCCAAGTTGGCTGAATTTCTCCCCAGTCAAGTCATACCAAACTGACATTTAATAGCAGTAGCTGGAGATTACGGCCACCAAGGATCAAAAAAGGCTAAACCACATGATGAATGATTGACAGAACTAGGTACAGTATGTTTAGTCTAATGAAGAGAATGACTAGGGGTGATATGATAGCAGTCTTCTAGTACTTGAGGGGCTCTCACGGAGAAGAGAGGGTCAACTTATTTTCCAAAGCACGTGAGGGCAGGGCAGCAAGTAATGGTTGGAAGATCGTTAAAGAGAGATCTTATCTAGAGTTAAGGAGAAATGTCCTGATAGTGGAACAGCTTGCCTCCGGAAGTTGGAGGTGCTCCATCACTAAAGTTTCTCAAGAAGAGACTGGACAGCCATTTATCCAGAATGGTATAGAATCTCTTGCCATAGACAGGGCGTTGGACTAGAAGACCTCCATGGTCCTTTTCAACTCCACACCAAGAGCTCCACCCCAAACCCCACCACAGCTATTGTGTCTGTCAGCAAAAAATACCCCTGGTGCCCCCCCACACACACACACTAATCAGCACTCTCAAACTTGGCGCTCCAACCATTAATGGTATTCAAGCCATTCCAAGACAAACTTCAGCCTAGGTCTGCCTCCTTAATTGTTCCCAATGGATCTACTCCAGTGGTGGGATTCAAACATTTTTATCACCGGTTCGGTGGTTGTGGCTTAGTGGACGTGCTTTGTGCATGTGTACACACTTTGCACAGGCGCAG